TGAAATGATCATATGGTTTTTTTTTTCAGTTTATTTATATGATGGATTACATCGATAGATTTGTGTATGTTGAACCAGCTCTGCATCTCTGGAATGAAGCCCACTTGATCATAATGGATAATTTTTCTAATGTATTCTTGTATTCGGTTTGCCAGTATTTTATTGAGTATTTTTGCGTCAATGTTCATGAGTGAGATTGGCCTGTAATTCTCTTTCTTTGTTGTGTCTTTATGTGGTTTTTGTATCAGGGTAACTGTAGCTTCATAAAAAGAGTTTGGCAATGATTTTTCTGTTTCTATATTGTGAAATACATTAAGGAGTATAGGTATTAGCTCTTCCTGGAAGTTCTGGTAGAATTCTGCATTGAAACCATCTGGTCCTGGGCTTTTTTTGGTAGGGAGGTTTTTGATAACAGCTTCTAATTCTTTGCGACTAACAGGTCTATTTAGATTGTTCACTTGGTCTTGATTTAACTTTGGTAAATGGTATTTATCTAAAAACCAATCCATTTCTTGGACATTTTCCAACTTTGTGGCATATAAACTCTCGTTGTAAGATCTAATGATTCTCTGAATTTCCACTGTGTCTGTTGTTATGTCCCCCTTTTCATTTCTGATCTTATTAATTTGAGTGTTCTGTCTCTGCCGTTTGATTAGTTTGGCTAGGGGTTTGTCAATCGTGTTGATTTTCTCCAAGAACCAACTTTTTGTTTCGTTTATTTTTTGGATTGTTTTCTGTGTTTCTATTTTGTTGATTTCAGCCCTCAGTTTGATTATTTCCAATCTTCTACTCCTCCTAGGAGAGTCTGCTTCTTTTTTTTCCAGAGCTTTGAGGTGTGCTGTTAAGTCCCCAATATGTGCTTTCTTCCTTTTCTTTAATTGGGCACTTAGTGCTATGAGCTTTCCTCTTAGAACTGCTTTCATTGTGTCCCATAGGTTTGAGTATGTTGTGTCTTTATTTTCATTAAATTCAAGGAAGACTTTAATTTCTTTCTTTATTTCTTCCTTGACCCAAGGATGATTCAGTAGTTGACTGTTCCACACATTTGTAGGCTTTCTGGTGTTAGAATTGTTATTGAATTCTAACTTTATTCCGTGGTGATCCGACAAGACACAGGTGGTTACTAATATTTTTTTGTGTCTATGGAAGTTTGCTTTGTTTCTGAGTATGTGGTCAATTTTTGAAAAGGTTCCATGAGCAGCAGAGAAGAAGGTATATTCTTTCCTTTTTGGGTGGAATGTTCTATAGATATCTGTTACGTCCATTTGATTCATCACCTCTAGTAATTCTCTTATTGCTCTGTTGAGTTTCTGTTTGACTGACCTGTCCATTGGTGAGAGAGGTGTGTTGAAGGCTCCTACTATTAGTGTGTGCGGTTTGATGACTGCCTTGAATTCTAAAAGTTTTCTTTTACATAAGTGGGTGCTTTTATATTGGGGGTATAGATATTCAGGATTGAGACTTCCTCCTGATTAATTGTTCCTGTTATGAGTATAAAATGTCCATCTCCATCTCTTCTGATTGATTTTAGTTTGAAGTCAGTTTTGTTAGATATTTGAATGGCCACGCCCGTTTTTTTCTTAGGTCCGTTTTCTTGGAAAACCTTTTCCCAACCCTTTACTCTGAGTAGATTTCTATCTTTGTGGTTGAGGTGTGTTTCTTGTAAACAGCAGAATGTTAGATCCTGTTTTGGTATCCAATCTCTTCGTCTGTGCCTTTTTATAGGTGATTTGAGACCATTAATATTAAGTGATATTAATGACCAGTGGTTGTTGATTCCGTTTATTATTTTTTTTGTGTGTGTGTAGTAGAGTTTTGTGTTTCTCTTCTTTGAGTTGTGGTTGTGAAGGGTCGCTAGATGTCTGGGTTATTGTAGGCAGTGATGGCCATGTTAGATTCCTTGGGTTGCGATTTTCCTTCTATTACTTTCTGTAAGGTTGGATTCGTGGCTACGAAATTTTTAAATTTATTTTTATCCTGGAATATTTTATTTTCTCCGTTGATAGTGAACGATAGCTTGGCTGGGTGTAGTAGTCTGTGTTTGCATCCGTGGTCTCTTAGTTTCTGCAGTACCTCTATCCAGGATCTTCTGGCTTTCATGGTTTCCATAGAGAAGTCTGGTGTAAGTCTGATAGGTTTACCTTTATAAGTCACTTGACCTTTTTCTTTTGCAACTCTTAATATTCTTTCTTTAATCTGAAGGTTTTGTGTTTTGATTAGTATATGGTGAGGGGACTTTTTTTTTGATCCAGTCTATTCGGCGTTCTTTATGCTTCTTGAACTTTCATAGGAATATCGTTCTTTTGATTGGGAAAGTTTTCTTCTATAATTTTGTTAAATATATTTTCTGGGCCTTTGATCTGCAGTTCTCCTTCTTCAATACCTATTATTCTTAGATTTGGTTTTTTAATTGTGTCCCAGATTTCCTGAATGTTTTGTGAAGAGAATTTGTTGGATTTGCCGTTTTCTTTGATTAGAGCATTTATTTTCTCTATGGTATCTTCAGAATCTGAGATTCGTTCTTCTATCTCTTGTATTCTACTGGTTATGCTTGATTCTGTAGTCTCCGTTCATTTACCTAGGTTTTCCATATCCAGCCGGTTCTCGGTTTGTGTTTTCTTCATTGCCTCCATTTCAGTTTTCAATTCTTGGACTGTTTCCTTTACTTGTTTGATTGTTTTTTCTTGGTTTCTCTGGGTATCATTCACGGATTTACTTATTTCTTCAAACTTTTTGTTATATTTCTCATCCATTTTTATACTCATTTCTTCAAACTTTTTGTTATATTTCTCATCCATTTTTATACTCATTTCTTCAAACTTTTTGTTATATTTCTCATCCAATTCTTTAAGGGAGTTATTCATATCCTGTTTAAGGGACTCTATTGCTTTCATAATGGCACTTTTTTCCACTTCTTCTGGGTTAGAGTGTTCAAGTCCTTCTGTTGTAGGGTCGTTGGGATCTGGTGTTTTCATGTTGTTTTTCAGATTGTTGGAGGAGGTCTTGCCTTGGCGTCTGCCCATCTCTTTGTTCAAATGCTCTCTATTGGAACTTCTGGTAGCGGGTCAGTTTCCCTTATTGGGCAGGGAATTCACTGATAGAATGCCTACCTTTCGTCAGGCAGGCTATTGAAGCACAGGCACTCCCTCTTTCCGGGACGCACCTACAGAGCAGGCCCAGCGTGCAAGGCAGCTGAGCTGGGGAAATTTTATGGCCCCAGTGGGAAGGGAGAAATATAGGAATTTGTTCCTGGATGGAAGCTGGGATGGCAGGCAGGAGAGCTTAGCAGGGTGGAACCAGCACTGCAGGGTGACCTGGGAGTCTATGGTGTCGGGGAAAGTCCGAGCTCCTCCTCGCCGGGCCCCTGCAGCGGGCCTGAAGCAAACTCACCCCTCCAATGGCCCTCTGGATGGAAGCTGGGATGGCTGGCGGGGGAGCTAGCAGGGTGGAGCCAGCAGAGCAGTGTGACCTGGGAGTCTATGGGGTCCGGGAAAGTCCGAGCTCCTCCTTGTAGGTCCCCTGCTGTGGGCCCAAAGCAAACTCAGCCCTCTGGTGGCCCTCTGGCTGGAAGCTGGGATGGCTGGCTGGGGAGCCCTCCGATGGCTCTCTGGATGGAAGCTGGGATGGCTGGTGGGGGTGCTAGCAGGGTGGAGCCAGCAAAGCAGAGTGACCTGGGAGTCTATGGGGTCGGGGAAAGTCCGAGCTCCTCCTCGCCGGGCCCCTGCCGTGGGCCCGAAGCAAACTCAACCCTCCGATGGCCCTCTGGATGGAAGCTGGGATCTGGTACAATATTTTTGATATGGAAACTGATTGTGTCTATGTTGAGGTCAGCTATAGCATAGTTTTCTCCATGCATCCTCATGATTCCCTATCTTTCTATTATGCCTAAAACTACGTCATTCTGGAGACTGAGAGAAGACATTCATAAGAAAAAGTAGATAATAATGCTCATTATTTAAAATAAAGCTTATAAAATAGGCAAATGTTTGGATTTCACATGAGTCATATTTTACTGACCCCTTACATAGACTGTACACATGGTAATTATTAAACCATAAAGTTTATTTTTCTTTCACTCACTTTTTATCATTTTTTTCAATTATAATATAATCATACCGATCCCTCATTCCAAAACTTCCTATTTTCCCCTCTTTTCTCTCTTTCAAATTTATGGCCTCTTATTTCTTTATTGGTTGTTACACATGCATGTACAAACATTTATGTTTATTCCTAAATATAAATAAAATTCATTCATCTATATAATCTTAGTTGTATGTGTGTTTTCAGGGCTGACAAGTAAGTATTGGATAACCAATTGTTGCACTCTTCTCAGGGAATGACTATGTCTCCAACTATCAGAATTCCCTAGTTGCTAGTAGCTCATGAGCTAGAATTGATGCTTTGTGCTCTTTCTACATGAACCTCAACATGTCTTGCTGTCATTTTTCTGCTCATGTTTAGAGAGCCATGGTGGTGAGTCTTCATGTGTATGATTTCTATCATTCTGAGGAGACACAATTTCACAGCTAACTCTCTGATCCTCTGGTTCTTATAGTCTTTCTTCCCCTCTTCTTCAGTATTTACTGAGTCTTAAGTACAGGACTTATATTGTAGACCTATCTGTAATGACTAGACTCCACTACTCTGCATTGTTACTCATTGTGTTTTCTACAATGACCTCCATCTGCTTGCAAATTCATGGATCGTGGAGCAGAGCCCACAACCACCACTTACTAATCCAGCACAGTCACTAACTGCATCCTAATCATTTGTCCTTACCACATACTCAATCCTTTGTACAGGGTCTGATCACTTGGCTCATTTTAGAATGACTCATTAATTTTCTTTTATTGAATTGTAAGACTTTTTAGATATTCTCTTTAAGCTTAGTTGAACAAGATATATGTTTTGAGCATTTTCTCATAGTATTAACTCTTTATTTTCTTAAAGACATTGAGATTTCTGTCTAGAAAACTTCAAAACAATTACGAATAAAGTTAAATACATGAAAAGGTAACTTAAAGATACATAATTAAAAGATTTAATACCTTCAATATCCTTACCATCTTCTATAAATTCAATAAAACTGAACTAAAACACCAAGCACCACTTTTTTAACTGATGAATTGAATGGAGACCTGCCCATTGTGGGTGGCACCATTCTGTGCGAAAGTGGCCTGGGTCATATTAGGAAGCTAGTTAAGTGTAAGCCTGTGAGTGAACTAGCAATAGAGTTTCCCCAGGGTTTCTGTTTGAATCTCCTGTTTGAGTTCCCACCTTGATTACCACTAATGATGGACTATGGCCTGAGAGTAAAAGCTAAATAAATCTTTTCAACTTCTAAGTTGCTTTTTCTCAGAGAGTTTTAGAACAGCAATAGAAAAGAAGCTAGGACATCCAGCTCTCTGTACATTCTGTATCTTCCATGACTTGATGTTCTTGCTGTTGTTGCACATTGTTTTCTCCTCAAAAACTGTGATCCTGTCCACAGCAGGTGACCTGACATTGGTTCAGTTGTCCCATCAGCTTCTCTGTTAGTTCCTAGATGATCATTTCTGCATCACAAGGGAGTATATATTGAGAATTTAAAGACCTAAGTCCTTAACTTACATGGCCAAAAGCTTACCTGATCTTAGATCTAAAAACTCTGCCTGTACCAAAAAGGGACATTAAATCAAGCAGATGTTCACTTGTGGAATTCTGATGTCTTATAACAGGGGAAGGCCACACCCACCCAGCTGAAGGTTTGTGTACTGGCTGCAGGTGTGTGGGGAGCACTGTGGATCCACAGCACAGAAATAAGTGCCTGAGTTTGTGATCTGAGAGGAGAAAATGTACAAAGAGCTGATGCGTTCCTGAGGGACTGTTGTGGACTTCAGTCTTCCACTCTGCTTTGTTCTAGAAGGATTGTAAAACAGGCTGATGAGGTATCCCCCAGGGCTTTGATAAAACCAATGCACTTCGGTTGTCATGGTGGAAAAGTTGCACTGCAGCTCTGCACGCTCTCCCTCCTGCAAAACCAAGGACACAGGACTCTGCTTCACTTGCTGCCCATTCACCCCTGAAGAGAAACAGAGAAAAAGACACAGATGGAGATCACTGAGCATATGCAGAATCCTGAACACACTCCATGTTCTTTGAGAAAGTCAGAGCTCTGCAGGACCCCTGAACTGCTTCCCCACTCCTCCATGTGTTGAACAGAATCCTAACTGTCCTCTGAACATGGATAACCAGACTCACAGCAAATCTGGATGCACAGCAGCCCCAGCAAAGAGGACAGCAGCCTCCTCATGGTACTTGTCTGGATGCTGGAGACAGACGCAAGTACACAAACCCTGGACTGTGGTGTCAGGATGGCTGTTGAAATGTTCCTGCTCCTGCAACAAGTGAGCCCCACCCAGGGACCTTGCCCTGCCAGAACTACTGAGTTCTCTCCTTGTCTTCTCAGACTGAAGCTCCTCCCACACCAGACCTGACTGAGAGTCTGGGTACAGCACAGTGGGAGGGGTGTGGCATATTTTGAGACAACCCTGAATTTATAGGCACTGTGAGTGAACTTTGAGGATAAAGAGAATTTTTTTCCTCCTAAAGAGAAATGTCTCAATTGTATAACAAGTAAGTGGAGAACATTTAAAACAAAACAGCTGAACAATCATGTCAGGAAATAGTTGAATGTTCTGAGTAAAGAATCTTTACTGGCCAGGCTGTCGTGGTGCACACTGTTAATCTCAGCACTCGGGAGGCAGAAGCAAGTGGAGCTCTGTGAGTTTGAGGCTAGCCTGGTCTACAAGGTGAGTTTCAGGAAAGCCACGGTTACACAGGGAAACTCCGTCTCAAAACCCTCCCCCAGCTTGAAATGAACCTTTATTAAGAAAAGAGAGAGGCATTCCAATCATGCAAAGTAAAAACCATCTAACTGTTTTTAATGATTTCCTAATCTTGGAATAGTAAAATATGTGTTGTGTCAAATACATCATTATAAAATTACTTCTTACACTGTAAGAGATTGGAACTTTTTCTGGACACTACATAAAAATTATTAACATACTTTAAGGTTCCTTAAGATTTAAGGCTGATATCCTAGCATGTACTCAGTATTTAGTGTGCATTTAGGAGAACAGTGTAACAACCAATGTTACTTGTATTGGGTTCCACTGTAATCAAGCTTTACAACCTAAGTGAATGCATAGCCTTAATCCTAAACTCTGTACACTTCCATGCTCCTGACCCAGAGTAATGCATATGTGCATGCATGCTATGGTAGCAATTGCTAGAAACAGCACACATAGGTTGAAAGCAATCTTATAAAATAGTATCTGCTATAAATGTTAAAGGCAGCATATAGAGATTATTTAATGATGTTTGTTTGCTTGTTAACTGGGCCATTTGCTGTCAGTTGAAGTCAATGACTTATTCCTTTGTAAAACTGTATTAAAGATTTATGTAAGCTCTCTTCATTTCTCTCTTCATCTTCCATTCCTTCCCCATGTGATGATTTCTGTGATGGTCAATAAATATAGATCAGAGCCCTTTCTTGGAGATAAACCTCCACAGACACAGGAACAAACAACACAAGACAGCATTCAGGGGGACACAGATTTAGACGCATACAACAGACAGATACAGATGTAGAACTATGGAAGTCAAGGAAAGGGAGAAGCAGAGAATTCAAATCCAGGCTTGGTCTTCAATTAAATCAAATGGAGTGTTTTTTTTTACTTCTTTTTCTTAAGATGACACTGAAACATTTTGGGTACTCTGAGGCTATTATTAATTAGTTGGAACAAAAGTAATGTTTATTTTAATAGATACTCCCATTATAACAAAGGTATGGGATCATATTTGTTTGATTATTAAATGACCACAGAAGAAGGAAGTGGACTGAGGAAGTTAAGGTAGGCGTGCTGCCTGCAGAGTGACAGGGGCAGCGGAGCTGCTGTGCTTTTACATATGGAGATGCAGGGGACAATGCACTCCAGTTCATAACAGTGGAGGAATTTATTTTGAAGAATTTACCATAAAGACGACTGCTTGAGAAATGAGATTTGTAATGAAAAGCAAACATACAATTTTCTCAAAAATAACTCACAGTCAACGTTATGCCATCTCAGCCCATCACTGTCTCAAATGGTGTTGATACAACCAATGTCCTCCAGTTTGAAGAGAATCCTGAAGGGTAATTGAGGTTGAGTTTTGACTTGGGTAAAAATACTGTCCTTTAGGAATCTGATCTTTCCTTTGCAAAATGAGAAACAAGACAATGGCAGCTCAGACAGATCTACCTCATAGGAACGAAGCACTTGCCAAGATTCCACTTTCTCTGTACTGTTGAATTTATGGAACATACCAACTCCCTGTGAGTGTCTGAGTCTGGGACCCTGGTCTCTTACTCTGTAGTTTCAGGTGGTTTATGTCCAGATCTGCACTTGTGACTCAGGGCAGAGGAGAACCCAGCTACTTCAGTCCCATAGTGAAAGGATCCTCAGGTAGAAGGAGTTTCCATCCTTCTCACACTCAGTTTGAATGTCCGTTATAACTGAGACAGACTGATTTCCTTCAAGAGGCACTGGAGTCTCAGGTGAGAGTGTTGCATATGCAGGTAAGGACCCTGAGGGACAAGGAATGAGTAGCCGCTGCCCCTCAGCTCTAGAGCAGCTGCTGCAGATGCATAGAGGCAGCCATTAGGCTGGGGCACCAACTGGGCTCTGCATCCTCCTGCGGCATCAGTGCTGTGCGGGCAGCTCAGGTGAGAGGAGGTCTCTGGTCAGAGTGAAACAGCACAGCGTTCTTTCTGGGGACGAGGCTCTAAAGCAGAGTGACAGTGAGCAGCAGGGCTGCTCTGAGCCTCAGGATGCACAGTAAGGTCACCGAGGAGAACAAGAAGCAGCTCACTCTTCCTGGAAAGTCCTGGGAAGTGAATACAGCCTGGGGCGTGGGAGAGGTGGACAGAGGGATTTAAATAAAACCTTCTCCACAGCAACCCTGATTGAACCATTAGGAATCGTAAGTCTTGGTTGGCAATAGGCCCGTGACTGGTATCTGAGAGTCTTTCTGTTACTATCTAGTATATGTTCAGTCAAAGTCAGTGTTTACATAGTGGAGAAATTAGGTTTTGGTGTCTTTGATCTAATCTGCATAAAAGCCCTTTCCATGTTAGAGAGCAGTGCCCCCTAGGGGCCAAACAGAAACTCAATTTGGCAGTTTCTTTTTTTTTCAGATTTTTTTTTTGTAAATTTTATTAAATTATAAAAGTTTCCATTTCCGCCCCTCTTCCTAACACCCTCCCACTCCCCCCACTCCCTCTCCTCCTCCCTCTTCGTCCCTTAGGGCAGTCAGGGTTTCCTGCCCTGTGGGAAGTTCCAGTTCCTTCCCCCTCCCTCCAGGTCCAGGAAGGTGAGTGTCCAAACAGACTGGATCCCCAAAATCCAGCATATGCAGAGGAAACAGGTCCCAGTATCCTAGTCAATGGCTTTTCAGAAAGACTTCGGGCCAGCCACAGTCAGAAAATCCGGCCAAATTCCGAGAATCTGGTTAGATCCCCTCCTCGTTCAGTCCCAGTCCAACTGGCCTTGGTAAACTCTCATTAGATCCGTTCCCTTGTATCAGTGGGTGATAGCATCCCTCGCAGTACTGATTTCGTTTTTCATGTTCTTCCTCAGTTTCAATGTGCTTCTTTCTCATTGGCTTTCCCATTCTTCTAGGATTGATTCTCAAAGCTTGATGATCTTATGCAGAGCAAGACCTATGCTTTCTAAGGCATGAAATTTGTGACCTCTACAAAAAGAGTATAAAGATTTAAACAAAAATGGACACAAACTCTTTCAGTTTGAGACAATTACAACACTTTTACATGTTTTAAAGGAAACTCTCAGAAAGTCTCAGAATTCAGAAAATCACATGCTACTTTACTGCTAAAATATGAATGACATAATCAAATGGCACCATGGGTGCACAGTTTGATGGATGATGTGAGGAATAAAGACTACATTTCCTTTTTCTCTCCACAGCAAACATGGCCAATGTGTTATTGTAAGAAGAGGAAGCCAGGGAGTAATGAGCCAAATCAATTGTAAAAATATCTCAAGAAAACAACATGCTTATATGGCCTGCTACAGAAAATCATTTCGATAAACTCAAAGTCAAAGCCATTGTGTGTCAGACTGATTAGAGATGTAATTACTTATGCAGAATCGTGCTGTCTTTCTTATGAAATGTAACCTAATCCCAAGAGTGGCACCTGTCATAGTCTAGGCCCTTCCTACAGGAGACTATGCCCTGCATGCCCACCAGGGGGCAGGCATTCTGATCATCACTTTCTAATCCACTACTGAATTTAGTGCTCTCATTCTTTAGAGGAAGTTTGAATGCTACATAATGGCAAAAATGTATTTATTTTGTGTCCTATAAAAAGATGTCATTCTAAGCCTTACCAGGTAGCAATCAATGTGACAATTGTGTGCCAAAGTAAGAACACTAAGCACAGAGTCCTCTTTAGACAGAGCAGGCTACACAGTGTGGCAGCAGTGAGAGCAGAAAAGAACATGGAAGCAGTTAGAGAGGAGAGACACAGATCCCAACACTGTAAACTGACTGGAAATAGACCATGCCTCTGAGTTAAGTAATCAGACAGCAAAGCCGTCACAAGGTAAACTGGCTGCACCTACGGGCTGTGAAATCTTGGTGGTCACACCTAGGCATACAATGAATGGGTTGTGGGTCACATGTATTAACCCAATCCTATCTTTCACCTCAGTCAGATCCAACATATGTTTATGTTCACTTTTTCACCTGACAAATAAAATTATAATAGAGAGAAATGTAGAGACGAAAATCCTTCAAAATATCTTACTTTTTAAGAACAACACACCACTTTAGACCATGTGATCAAACTTCTGGGTTCTTCTTAGGCTTTAAACCTGTTTGAGTTAAGAGTCTAAAACATATGCTCCATTAGGCTCACACTAAAACTTTCTCCAAACATAGAAAATCTTCTGGATTGCTTTTTACTTTCATGTTCCAAATAATACCTTTGTCCATAATGCTTTATCGTTTGTTTATTTTTTATTTAGTCTCTTGATTGATTCGTTGCAAATTTCACATCATGCACCCTAATTCTGCTCATCTTTTAGCCCGCCATACTCTACTCCCTCCTGCAACACCCTCTCCTAAAGAAAATTTTCAAAAATCAAGCCAAACTCAGCCAAACCATAACAAGCAAACAAGTAAAAGCAAAACCAACAAAAACCAAACCAAACCAAACAAAATAAACTAAAAATTCTTTTCCACTCTTTCATCTTTCCCACCTCTCCAACACCGCCTCATTTGTCCTGGTGGCACTGGGAGCCATGGCGTGTCATGCAGTTTATCCTTTGAATAATCAGCTTTACTTGCAACTTTTATGAGTCTTTGGTTTTTCAATGAGTCTTTGATTTGGT